CATGCTGGGGTGGCTACAGGGGGTTTAGGCTTTCGCTGGGCCTTGAAGAATTGTTGAGTTTGTTTTTTTTTTAATTGTAGTTTTTAAGAAAAATTGTTTGAAAATATATATAACATAAAATATACCATTTTAAGTGTCCAATTGTGTGGCAGTAAGTATGATATCTTCCTAATGTTGTGCAACCATCACCACTATCCATTTCCAGAACTTTTTCATCATCCCAAACAGAAACTCCACTCATTAAACAATAACTCTCCATGCCTTCCTCCCCCAGCGCTCGGTAACCTGTTCTGCTTTCTGTCTCTGTGAATGCACCTTCTCTAGGTACTTCATGTACGTGAAATCATGCAGTATTCTTTTGTGTCTGGCTCATTTGACCTACCATACTGTTTTCAAGGCCCATGTGTGCTGTAGCGTGTATCAGCATTTCACTCCTTTTTGTGGCTCAGTTATATTCCACTGTGTGTCTATCCTACGTGTCGTTTATCCGTTCATCTGTTGACGGCCACACGCAGGTTGTTTCCGCCATTTGCCTATCGTGAACTATAGTACCGTGAACATTGGTGTGTGAGTATCTGAGTCCCTGCTTTCAATTCTTTTGGGTACGGTTGAACTTCGTACTGGTGATGGGGAGACATCACAAGTGCCTAGAGAGGTTAGAAGTAGAGGGGACGTTGGCATTTCTTTTATTTTGAACTATCACTAAAATCTTGCATGGTTGACTATAAGTCCCCCCCTCTTCCTCCCTCATTTCTGCTCTTGTGAGAGCAAGGACTGTCTTCTAGCTCAGCACTTAGCAGGGCACCTGGGATTAGTATTTACTGAATAATTCCTGGAGTTCCCAGCTCCTAGCTTAGAGCCATTATAGTACTAGTTGGTCCCTAGAGTGGTGGGTTTTGCCATCTCTCTCTTTTTTTTTTTTTTTTTTTGGCTCATTATTTAACACGTGTTCAGGGAACAGAAAACAACTCTTAACATTAGCCTTAGCCAAACATAATTAGGGACATACATTTGCTAATGCAAAAAGTCCTGGTATAGATAAAACACAACTCAACAAAAATTTGTTGAGAACTTGCTATCTACCAGACGTATTTCAAAATGCAATTTCAGAGCAATTCCAAAGCTTAGGAGGAATACCTTTTTGAAAGGCATTACTTTAATATGAATCTGTACTCTTTTTTTAAAAAAAATCATGCATCTTTACTTTTCTTATTGTGAGGCTATTATAACAATATTCAAGATAGCTTAGAAAAAAGAGAATAAGCACCACCCACAGTCTCACCCTAATAAAAGCTCTATTTTCATTTTATAAGGTGAGTTTGAGGGTCGAACTTATAAATCATTTATCTTGAAAATAAAACCCCAAATACTTGTGGTGATGACTATTTTAAAAATTTATTTTGTAAAATTCTAGAAGTACAGCATAAATTAATGATCTCCAATTTAGAAGCCCCTTTTAATTTTGGAGACATCCGTAGCTGTTTTAATTAATGAATTAAGCCACATTTTTCTTGGTAGAGCAGCAGAATTGACCTAGGTCATCTTTTGGGGATAGGGCATGGACTGTTGACATCTGTTATAGGGACCGGGTGTTTAGGAGCCTGTTTTCTCTTCAATCTTTTATATGTTCAGGGATTGAAGGGCATGTCTTTATGACTGTGATAGGTGGAGAAGTATTATTTAGGAGCCTTACCCAAGGGCTCTTAAGACCTTGGAGTGGGTGTCTAGACATAGAACACTACTGAGCATCAGTACAAGCCTAGTGGTGACGGGGCTGACCGTGTTGGCGGGACTTTGTGAGGACGGGTTGTCATGACCTGGCGTGGGTGGGGTAGGGAGCAGCCTCCATGAGGGGACTGGCCTGCAGCCAGGCTTTCCCCATGACAAGGAGGCGACTGGTGCAGTAGGTGTGTCCTAGGAACACAGGCTGAAAGGTGGACACGGCAGGGGTTGAAGAATGTCCTCAGCATCCTCAGTCAGTTGTCCAGAGAAGAGGCGGGTTGGGTCTGAGGAAGGCAGCTAGAAATGAATCCCATGAAAGTGCTTTTCAAGTCACACGTGACGTCACTGTTAGCTGCCGCCGCCTCTGTTATGGTTTTCGAGGCTGGGGGTGGGGATGGCAAAAACGGTGGTGTTTTCAGTTGATGGACCTTGGGGTTGTGAGGTGGGCTGAGTGGGCAGGGGTGGAGGCTGGCGGGGAGACTCTTAGGACGGGCTGTTATCTCCATGAGGTGGTGGTCGGCTGCCCGGGGAGGGCAGCAGGATGGAAAGGGAGGTGAGGATGCGTGGGGGAGGCCCCGAGGGAAGGTGGCTGGAACGTGTGGGTGCAGAGGGACAAGTCGGGCGGGACCCCGTGTGGGAGGCGGTGGGAGCTGTTCCCAAACGTAGGAGGTGGGTGAGTCTGGACTGATGTGGAGGAGTGACAACAAGTTCTGCTTCTAGAAAGACTGCGTCTTAGCATTGATTATGTGTCTTCCACGTGTCTCAGCACGGCGCTAAGTGCTTTGCACCGCAGCCTTTTAAAGCAGGTGCTATTACAATACTAGCCCCACTTTGCAAGTGAGGAAACCGAGGCAGAGTTGAGAAGTAACTTGCCCAAGGGTCACACGCTTCGTAAGTGGCAGAGCCAGGATCCAGGCCTTTCCATAGCATTCCGTTCTGTCCCTGTCCGCAGACTCCCCTTCCATGTTCTCATGTGAGTAGGGCTCCTGTTTTCTTTCCTTCCAGCCTCCTTTGGCTCCAGATTTATTTTCGTGTCCTGTACTGCCGTGGCCATCCAAGGAGAGGTCCGCAGTCGCAGCCGGTGACCCCGGAGCGCAGGGCCATTCCCACTCGACTGAAATTGCGCTCTTGGATTTCCAGCGATCTCTTTGTAACTGAGTTGGGGGACTTTTGTTCATTCCCTGTGACCTTGCTGTGGCATCTGCCCTGAGAACCACCACCCTATCTTTGAAGGTTTCTACTGCATTGATTGCCGTCTTCACCACTTTAACCTCTCTCCCCTTTCTTTCTGCTGGTTCTTTTTCCTACGTCTCTCATTATTCTTTCCCACTTTCTCTTGGTTGGAAGAGTTGAGTTGGAGATTGGTGGATCTTAAAGTCTGCTGATTAAAAAAATTAAAAAAAAATGGTGCTTTGTTGGTTCCTGCTTTTTTCCATAACCCTTTCCTCTGATGACCTGATCCTGGTTTTTAACTTCTCCAGTCATCACTGTACCCCGAGCATGAACTTCAGGTCGTAAGCAACCTACTGCTGAGAAGTCTGTGCGCCGACCAGGTAGCACCTGTGAGCAGGTCCCTCCTCCCTGTCCCACCCCCTCTGAGCACGTCCCTGTCCTCCGCCCCCAGCCATCCTGGCCTTGGGTGGCTCACACTCTCGGCCTTTGTACCCCTGCTCTCTGCCTCCCACCAGCCCCTCTCTTCACCTGGCTGGCATGGCGTTGGCTCCTTCTTAAGAACTCAGGTCAGTCCTTGTCTCCAGCCTCATATGTGTGTGGAAGGTGGCACAAATCACAAATCCAGTGTGCATGCACCGTGTCCCCCGTGACCCTACAGAGGTGACACAAAGCCCCCAGGGAATCCTGACATCTTATTGCCCTCCCCCCACCCCACCCAGGGACCCTTCCTTCTACCCCCAACTCAAGCTGTCCCCAAGTCAACCTTTTGCTTTCTCATCCCACTGTACCCTGTAACCATTCACGTGTTCTTTCTCCGACAATCTGCTGCATCTCTTCCTCTTTATTCGCCATCCTTCCTGTAGGTTCTCGTTACTTCTGCCTGTAGACCAGCGCTTTTCACTCATTTCCTTGGATCTGGTTGATTCTCTGGTATCTCACTGTGCATGCCACTTTTCTGCTGAAAATCTACAGTGAGTGTACGCAGTCCCTGAGGTACATCCCAGACGTTTAGTCTCACCCCCACCTTCTCCACAAGGAGCATGTTTTCCAGCCGGGTTGGTTTCTGTACCACTCCAAAGGCCTCATCTTGACCTCAGTGCCAGCCCTTTCTTCACGCTTCTTCCTTCTCCTCCTTCTCCTTTGCCTTTTCTGATATGGTCAAGGTCCAGCCCACCTCTTTTCTTCAGCTCGACACCATGTCCTGTAGCTATGTTTCATGTCAGCAGTTGTTCTTTAAGTCCTGAAGTATGTGTAAGGACCACGTGTAATACCCACGTGGACTTTTTCCCAGCACCTAACATGATGCTTTTGTTGATCATAATTAATGAACAGATATTTGGATACATGGATGCACGTGTGAATGAATGAATTGGCCGCTGTAAATGTTCTAAGGTTCAAGTTTCATATTCAGAGTCTAAAAGTTTGCACCTTTATAAACTAGATAAACTGGTTTCCTGTCTAGAAAACCTACCTAGGTGTTAGGTTGATCGGGTTGAAACCCAGCATGGGCCAGAAAATATCTCGTGGTCTCTGATCTTTAAAATGGGATTGTCGTTTTCTGCCTTACTGTTTGGAGATTTGTGAATAGTTCTCCTTTTGATGAACACTGCCATGTAAGGAGAATTACATAGAAATAACTGAATTCACTAAGCTTAAGAAAAAGACAAGCTATGTCATGGTCATGTACATTCTGCCAAAAGAGTGACAGGCCAACAGTTTTTTTTTTTTTCCGTAGTGTGAAATTTTGTGTCTGTTGTTTCTAAGCCAAGCATCGCATGCCCATGCCATGACGATGGCCCACATTTAGAGTGGACACTTGACCTACTTGTATGTTTAACCCAAAGAAGGCCGTGGCGTCCAGCGTCCTGGCTTAGACACCAAATGTGACCCTTAGGATTAATTGAGGGTTGCAGAAAATAACTTAATTTTCTGGATGAACTTAAGAAACTTTAGACAGAGCTCTCTTTCCAGCCATAAATAGCAGGGCAGCTTTGTCCTATTTTTATTGTAGAGTACACAGAAGATGGAACTCAGCATTGGAAGAAATGCTTTATTTCGCCAAGGAAGAAGCTCCTACTCAACATGATTCTTGTTTTTCTTGGCAGGCTCTTCTCAACCATCTGTGAGTCCAGGGGAGCCGTCTCCACCATCCATCCATCCAGCAAAATCAGAGTTAATAGTCACCGTTGGCAACGAGATTAGGCTGTTATGCACCGATCCGGGCTTTGTCAAATGGACTTTTGAGATCCTGGGTGAAATGAGTGAGAATGAGCATAATGAATGGATCACAGAAAACGCAGAGGCCACCAACACGGGCAAATACACGTGCACCAACGAAGCAGGCTTAAGCAGTTCCATTTATGTGTTTGTTCGAGGTACATTCTTGGCTTTCTGTGTTGCTATGCTTTAGAAAACTTAATACCCTGTTCTTAATTTTGGATGAAATGTGGATGACTGAGCCATAGTTAAAATAGTACTGGCTAGGTCTAGAAAGCCTAAAACACATGTTTCTTTGCCGGTTTCCCCATCTTTTGATACAGAGTGGCTTTGGGGATGGCCGCAGCTGGAGGTCTGCGAGACTGTGATGCCCTTCCTGATGAGATTACAGTAGGTTTAGCCCATTTGTGCTGGTCCTCTGAGTAAACCCTTAGAATCAATGAGGCCCTTTGGGAAAGCTGCATTTTAATGCCTTAAGATACTAGATACTCCCACTTAGTAAAAACACTTCTGGGAACCAAAGGCCTCTAAAGCCCTAACCAGACCGACACTTCAAAGGATTTGGCTCACTCTTAGGGAGTAAATTCCAGAAAAATTATGTGGTCAGCTAAGCATCACATGTCTGTCATAGGTCCTTTGTAGAGCTGATTCATCTCAAAAACTGTGACCTCTTAGAAACAAAAGAAAAAGAAATATGATAGTTGGATTTCTATACTTATTTCCTATGACAAATTCAGTGATTTGTCTGTGTTTGAGCTTTTCATAGCTTTGTCAAGAGGAGGTGTGCTGGGTTGAGGTGTATCTTTTGGTTGATGTAATATCTGAGTTACTGACAGCTTAAGGGATATGCCCAAGTTACAGGAGGAGAGGTAGAGTCCCAGTTTCTAGTCCTGACTATCCCTGGACTGGGGCTGTCCTTGAAACAGGCCGGAGGTAAAAGGCCTTATCCGTGGTATTGTGAACAAATAATAGATGCATTTATCCTAGATTGGAGATCTGAGCTACCTCAAGAGTCTCGGTTTCCTCACTGCAGTATTTGGATAAGATTATCTGCTCTGTCTTCCTTACATGATTGTTGTCAGGGAGCCAGGACTGAACGAATTCTAACATGCTCTATCAAGGGTTAATAAAGCCAACTCACATGTTTGCTATAAAGAAGGTTACACAGAATTGACCATGCCTCTCAGCTTGCTTCATCAGTTGTCCTTCCCTAAACGGACACACTCACAAACTGCGGCTTCATTTCAGGGTACAGTTCTGTAATTGTTGAGCTAACCCCACGTGCTCCTCTTTGACATTGAAGAAGGTGTTCTGCGATTTCCAGGTGGTGATACCGTGTCGTGACAACTGAAGAAATAAAGGAAAACTGCCAAATTAGCCAAATCAAATCACTCTAACTGAGCTCACAAACTTCCTTTATAGGGAAAGTCGTCTTGGGTAACTTGGAACTATCCTCAGTTATTACTGACTCAAGATGTTGGGATACTTAAGTAATCTATGTTACAGCAGCAAAAGAAAGAGGACCACTGTTGTAGGAGCAAGTGACGGAGAAAGAGTAGGATGGAAAAATAACTAACTATGGCCTAGGACCCCGCACACACACAGTTCAGCCATTGTGAGGTGATTTATTTGCAGAATAAATTAATAAAGCTGGGAGATGTGTAATTCATTTTGGGAAACTTTTTTTCAAAATGGGTCAAAAGTAAATGACGGAACAGAAGTCTATTTCAATGATGTCAGATTCACTTTAGCAGAACGCCCGATTTCTAGATGGAAAGGACAATTGAAAAACAGATTTTAAATGTGATCTGTTGGCCTGAACACACATCTGTGTTGTCCACACACAGTAGGGGTGGCAGCACATCGCGTGTGCCGAATAGGGTTTGTCTTTGCTTGTGTGAGGCCCAATCAGCCGGAGCCACTCCCAGTCTGTCCCTGGTGTCCCGGCACAGTGATTACTAGTGTCCCCTCTCATCACAAGTGCCCTGGCTTGGCCTCATGCATTTGCCACGACATTCCTGAAACTCATAAGCTCCCCTCGTGCATTTGAAATTACTCGATTTCCGGACGTTTTATTTACACATTTCTTTCGAAGAATATGAATAGAGTGAGGCTCACGTGTTATTTGTTCTGAGTGGCCTGGCAAGAGTCTTCTAGATTCTCTTCAGAAGCTTAACCTCTGGAGACTAGAAACTGGGCAGGGTCCCACAGGAACCATCAGACTGGCCTATTCTTTGCTGATGATCCTTGGAGTCTTGCCTGTCGTAGAGAAAGAGTAACCTTCGTAGTAAAATATTCTCAGGGTTGTAAGAACTCAAATTTTGACATCAGTCAGACCTGGGTTTTAGTTCCCCTCAGTCACTTCCAAGTCATGTCGCTTTAGGAGACTTGCTTTTTCGAGACCTTGGTTTTATTTCTGAAATGGTGATAATGATAGTATTGATCATACAGGGGTGTTTTGAAGATTCAATGTGATAAAGTGTGTGATGGTCCAAGCCTGATACGTGGAAAGTGTTTAATTAGTGTTAACTCTCGCTTGTCAGTACCATTTGGATAAATTTTGCTTTTGCTGGCACAGAAAAAAGTCAACAGTCATTCGGGCCACTAGGCAACATTTCAGATCTTTTAAAAATGTTCTCAGTGTCTGTGACCAGGCATTTAAACTACTAATTTCTGATATGCTTATAGATCCTGAGAAGCTTTTCCTTGTTGACCGGTCCTTGTACGGGAAAGAAGACACCGATACGCTGGTCCGCTGTCCTTTGACAGACCCAGAGGTGACCAATTATTCCCTCAAGGGGTGCCAGGGGAAACCTCTTCCCAAGGACTTGAGGTTCGTCCCTGATCCCAAGGCTGGCATCACAATCAGAAGTGTGAAACGCGCCTACCATCGGCTCTGTCTGCATTGCTCTGCTGACCAGGAGGGCAAGGAGGTGCTGTCGGACAAAATCATCCTGAAAGTGAGGCCAGGTACTGGCCCTTTCTTATTTCTTCTGGGAGTCGAGAATCTGCTCATCTAAAGACTTCTCCCTTCTCGCTGGTGCACCTTAGTGTAGTCAGTTGGGAGCTGGCTCTTCAGTAGTTCTGCCAGCTTCAAAGTAAGGGCAGCTGCACGTGAATTCTTTATTTTATCTTCCTGACCCCAGTGGTGGGTCCGTGATTGCCTCTGGCAGAGTTGGGTGTGCCTGCCACAGATTGGCATTTAGACTGGGCTGACTTCGCTTACCCCAAAGTTTTGTAATTGCACCAAATATTCTGTCCAAGAGAAACCCATTGGGAGGCTTTAATTACACTGGTTGCAAGGATTAGCGTACAGATTATTCATTCTTTGATTTACACTTGACTTTAGCCAAAAGGCTGAGAAGAAATCTTTGATTTACTATTGACATGTGAGTTGACTTTCTTTTTAGCTGATTAATTTTAATGCATTCTCAAACTATTCGAGATCTGAGAAGGAAAGTACTAGTTGATCTGAGATCACCAACAGTTTGAGAATGGACCTTGTCATTATTGTGGCATTATGTGGACTGTTTCGTTGGCTAGAAAATAATGTAGGTTTTGTATCTCAGAGATCATCTATTCAACACCAGTTGGCATTCAGCTGTTGAGTACAGTTTTTATTAAGGATTTTGAAAAGGTATACTTACTGGAATTAAGGAAAGTTTGATTATTTAAAACATGGGGTTTCCAGAAGCAAGCAAAGTAGTATTTTCACAATGCATGGGAAAGATGCCTGTTTGGTTAAAAGAATATAGTAAGTTGTAGGTCACATCCTCATGACACCATCAAGGTGGTCAAGGTAAAGATTAAAATAGCTTCACTATGCTAGGGCTTCAACCTGTTTTGAGAAAGCATTTTCTAGAAACATTTATAATCTCATAGTAACCTTTCCTATTTTTTTTTCATTCAATATGAATGAATTTATTTGAAGGCTACATGATTTAATTACTGGTTTCTTCAGATATGCAAGTAATACAGGTAGGTTAGTACCACACTTTGCATTCTATTTAAAAGATGACAAAGTAAGCTGGACTGAAACATGGTAAGTTAAAATTTCATGCTATAGTAGAACACAGTGTTTGAGCGCCATGTTTCTTTTTACTCTAGCCTTCAAAGCTATACCAATTGTGTCTGTGTCCAAAGCAAGATATCTTCTTAGAGAAGGGGAAGAATTCACAGTGACCTGCACAATAAAAGACGTGTCTAGTTCTGTGGACTCAATGTGGATAGGGGAAAACAGTCAGGTGAGTGAACTCTTTCCTTCATTCTTCTCTATATTGTTCTCCGTGTGGGAATTTTTTTTTTTACAGAGTCTATCCTGGGGATGACTCCGCTGGCGTGTCTGTCAGAGCTGGATTACCTGGGAGTGCGTAGACATGGGCATTTCCCCCCTTCATACCTCCACGTGTAGATCGGTACATTTATTATTAGTAACAAATAACTGTCATTTTGTAAATTTATTTTGAGAAAGTTGAAGAGAGGACTTTACATTCATGTTATTATTTCATGCAATTGTTTTGAAAGACTTTAGTAGGGAAATATAAAAAAAAAAGTATGGTTAACTATGTAAATATCTTGATTTAAAGCTATTGTTGGTAGTGTTTAGGTCAGATCATTTAAAATATGGGAAAGGGTTGCCAATTTTTTTCCTAACATTTTTAAAAAGAATAAACAGTCTCAGACATTAGCCAGAAAGCTCTTCTCTCTTCCACAAAATGGCCTATCCATTTGAGAGAGGGGGTTTGTTTTTGGATGGATCTGATTTCCTGCTTTGAAGCTGGTTACCTGAAATTGCTAATGGTTTCTATTTGTTTTAGTTGCTATTAATGAAATGGTTATCATTAATCTGAAATATTTGGGCATGTTTAGGTTCTCATTCATTTAACAAATGCATATTGAATGCCTACTGTATCTCAGATACTAAGTTAGGCATATCTTATAAAAGTCAATAAATTTTAGTCAGTTATAATTGAAGTTTTTTCTCTCCCTAAATACTCACATTAATAGCAGGGTCTTTAAACTATCTTAGTTTCCCGAATATTTTGCTTTAGAATTCCCATTGACTGAGTTTTCAGTAATTTTTGTTTGACTAATCTTGGCCATCTATTAATAGTTAATTAGCTATCACAGTGGTTTTTCTTCATTACACATGCATGCATTAAATTGGGAAAAAGATATACTACATTTTCCTTCTCTTCCTCTTCCTCCCCTCCTCCTTCTCCTCATCGTGCCCTATTTTCAACATTGACAATTTCATGCCTGTTTAAAAATTATTTGCTAAACAAATAACCATGGTGTTGAGCATAATGGAAGACACTGTGATGGGGTTCACGTAGACCTGTGATGGATGATAATTCTGCTAAACGAAGCCCGCCATTGACTAGGAGAATAGATTGTACCATAGGCTCGTTCTTTCCAACCAATGGCTCAGAGAAACAAGTTTCAGTTTTCCTGTCATCTAATGTAATAAAAGCAATAGCTTATGTATGGATTTTTGGCTAACCTTACAGAATACAATCCCATATTAATTGGCTTTCTATAATCCTTGATTTCAGATGAGAGAACAATTTAGACTGGGTGTACATTTGAACGTCTGCATAACTTGAAAATTAGCCTTTTTGAGATGAGAAATTAAATTGCCCTAGGCAGTTTCGTTCTGAACCATTTTTCCCAGGAGCCCTGCATGCCATTCCCAATTAATCCACTGATGCTGGTAGACAAGCCTTTAGTGGTGGGAGCCCTCTGGGGAGATCTCAGTGTGCACCTCCAAGGGTTAAGGAAAACCAAATCACGTGCAAACAATATGTAGTGTGTGACTTGCAGATGGGGCTCATGGCCCTCTGCCAAGGTTCATCCATGAATCTTTTATTGATATGTTTTGGCTTAATGTGGAATACTGTTAGCAGTATTAAATTATTTTAAAAATCCATAATATTTGATTCTATTTGGAATAAGTTTAATTCGCAATGAAATTTAGGGTAAAATGACTATTTAGAGTTGTTGCAATTGTTTGTTTAAGCATAAGAGAGTCTTGGAGTTTATTCAATACAGTTAATCTGGTTAGCTTTTCTAATGCTTCTAAACGCTAGCATTTTTACTTGCATTTAATTATGATCTTTGACAGTATCCTAAATTATGGTCTTGGAGTTTGGGTGTTGATACTGCATCACTTAGGGCGAAGCTATTCCTTTTGGCACTGACAAGTTCAGTGTTCCTGTTTCGGTCCCTATTGTGAACTCCTGGGCTTGTGAAAGAACTGGAAGGAAGATACCCTAAATCTAGGATTTGGTGTGTTATCTGCCCATTGTCACTCTGCCTTTGTAAAGGAGAAGCCCATGAAACTATGGACTGGGAAAGGGCAGTGTGAAAATGTCACTTCACCTGACTTTCGCATCCTCTTAACAATTGATCTTACGCTGTGAAATGGCAGATTTCTGCCAATTATTAGAAGAATCTCTTAGAAGGGGACATCGGAGAGAAATAGGCATAATCCCATTATAGGTAGCAATCCCGTGTAACAGATATAGAACATGAACTTCACATGTAATTTTTAATTTTCTTGTAAGCACATTACAAAAAATGAAAAGGTGAAGTTGATTTTAATAATATATTTTATTTGACCCACTATAGCTAAAACGTTATCCTTTCATCATGTGATGAACATAAAAGTTATTCATGAGATGTTTTGCATTATTTTTTTCATACTAAATCTTCAAAATCTCAGACACATTCTATATTTATAGCAAAACTCAATTTGGACTACCACGTTTCAGATGCTCAGTAGCCAAAAGTGGCTAGTTCTTATCAATGTTATATAGCCTGAATTTTTTTTTCATATTTCTTTTCTCTTTTCCCCCATGCATACATATAATTGCATGGTTACAATTTTAATGTACACTCAATTTATGCTTTTTAAGTTACATAAACATCTCTCTTTATAGTCTCCATAGTCATAATTTTATTGCTACCTACTTGGTATACAGGTAGGTTATTTCTGAGTTTTCAGTGCTGTCAACATCTTGGAGCTTTTGTTTTCTGTTGAGTAATTTCCTTGAGATAAATTTGCTGCAGGTGATCAGAGGTTATGAACATAACTGCCAACCTGCTTTTCAGAAGGATCGTGCTGATTTACAACACTGTCAGATAGTCTAACTCTTAGGTTCTTCATAGCCAGGCCAGTGAAGCACCTTTGATCTCACTCCATGTCGATATCAATTCCTGCTTATTTTCATTTTTTAGTTGTTTTTCTTTCCATTGTAATAGGAATGTGCGCGCATTGCAGAAAATTTAGAAGATGCAAAAAGCTATATTTGACTCTCTTTAATCTTTTCAGAGAGCTTCTCTAGTTTGTATCATGGTTTTCCCATGACATTTTATAATAAATACAAGAAGTCTCTCCATGTCTTGTCTGCAGACAAACAATAAGAGTGGGATGGTGATGTCACAAGGGTAAATTCACAACTTTTTCTCTTTAGCTCATACTTAAATAGTTCTGGGCTTGGTCTTAGATGTCTCCTATACCTTAGAATTCCCTTCAGTAGTTGCCAAAATTCTGCTGGGTAAGAACTGTAGGGTAAATTTCCAAGTTAGTTGTAGACATTGTGATTCTATTTTCATTCCTGCAAATAATAAATGTTAATAAAATAGAACATTGTTGTTATTAACAATGTGGTTTTTTCCAATCGTTGGGATATAGAATAGAAAAAGGTAATATAACAGGACATGACATAAACGTGCTGACTCATCTAATAAAGTATCAATATTCCTTAATATTTCTTACATAGTAACTTAAAATTTAGCACTGCAGAGAATTTGGAATTATGTATACTATGGTTAAGAAATGAATTTTCGTATTTTTTCCCAGTCGTTAATAATGACTGACTTTCAGTATAATCCTGTAATATGAAGTGTTCCAATGATAGACTTGTCACGATGCTTTATTATTCTTACCTAAGTAGTATATAATGAAAGCTAATATGGAGAAGTTAATTGCTGCTATTTTTAATTTATCTAGGAAAGATCCTGAATATAAATTACATGGTAATCTTTGACTTTTTTCCTTCGTCTTCTGAAACACAGCAGACGAAAGCACAGGTGAAACAAAATAGCTGGCATCACGGTGACTTCAATTATGAACGTCAGGAAACGCTGACTATCAGCTCAGCAAGAGTTAATGATTCCGGAGTGTTCACGTGTTATGCCAGTAATACTTTCGGATCGGCGAATGTCACAACCACCTTGGAAGTAGTAGGTAAATATCTCTATGGGAATGTATAAATTACTGGCAGTAGTGAAAGAAGAAATTACTAGATAGTTTCCTTTTTATGTAAATGGAATGTTGAACAGCTTCTTAGAATTTAGTTATCACTGAATGAATGAATGAACAAAAATTATCGCTGTAGCCTCTTGAGACTAGAGCACAAAAGCAAATTCTACCAGTTTATAATAGAGAAAAGCGGAAAGCTCTTCCTGAAGTTTTTCAAATCTGTTATTCTCTGCGCTACCCACCCCACCAAACAAAGCAAAATAGACGTTGAACTTTTTCAAAAATTCTAATCCTTGCTGAATGACTTGAGTTTGGAAATGGCTGTAGACTCTGTCTATCGGGGAGCACAAATGTGTTAGAGCCTCAGGTGTTTCTCTAAATCTTTTGGTCCTGCCTTTTGGGTCCCTAACCCCATCATATCTGCTGTGCACAACTGGTTTAGCTTTGTCTTCCAAATCTCACTGAATACTTGTGTTCCAAGCATCTACTTAGAAGAGAGCAGAGCATAGATTCTTCATGCTTTTGATTTATTGAGAAAAATAATAATTTTAAATTACTTCATTTACAAATTTTTTGCCTTTTGAGTATTGTTTGAATTGAATCTATTTTCCTGTCTTTGTAACGCAGCCATATTCCTAGCGCTTGACTTTGATTAAATTCTTCTAGGGCGGTGAAATTCTTCATCATGAACAATAAGAAAATGATGCAGTATTTGTTTTCGTATCTCTCCTTTTCCCTCTCCCCAAATTTCTTCAATAATTTATGGAGCAGTGTTAAAGCACTGTGATTTATCCCACAATAATCTCATAAAATTCTGGTGTTTCTGCTCATGTTATAATGCAAAGTATCTCACCAGACTGAACACAGAAAAGACACTTTACTTGCAATTATAGAGTCAGCACACAGAAAGTGTACTACTTTGTCCCTAAACGTGATTGTGAACCATTTACTAATTTGAATAGAAGGCTATGCTTTTAAAATATTAAACTCCATAAGCACTAATTTGCTAAGTTGATTAGGGAGCATGTTGATATATCAGCTTCAGCTTTAGCTCCAGAAAGCAATTAGTAAGGATGTTTTGAGCATATTGTTGTATGTAATCAGATTTTTAAAATCCATTCATCAATTTCCAAGAATTATAACTGTGTGACTGGAAAGACTTGTGGCTGTGAAACCTGAATCTGCCTTTGTATCGTTTTGGGAGTGGGTTGAGGTGGGACAGGAACAGGAAGAGACAAAGAGCAAAGGAATTTTTTAGTGGCTGGGAGTAGGATTTGGATACGTTGCACGGCAAAGAGAGCAGGGCTCTGGGACCGCCTCAACCTGGCTGTTTTTTTAAAATAATTTTTTATTGTGTATATTTAAGGTATACAACATGATGTTATGGGATACATATAGATCGTAAGAAGATTACTACAGGGAAGCTAATTAACATCTCCGTCACCAGACATAGTTACCCATTTTTTGTTTGTTTTTGTGGCAAAAGCAGCTAAAATCTGACCCGGTTTTGAGTTGAGGGCTCTGCCACTTAACTTTCTAACTCATCCTGCTTTAACTCTGCCTGCATTCTCTCTTCTGAGAAACACAGCCTCCAACTCCAAGGCTGTGGAAAGGAGGAAAGGCAATAGATGTTAATAGAAGCGTCAGGCGTAGGGGTCGCACTTGATTACCAGTTGATCACCAATTTCTTAATGGAGAAGTGCTTGAAAAAACATTAAACTTTATGTCATAACAACCTGAGTGGAGTTCTTTGATTCTTTATGTTACAACAATCTAGGTGGAGTTCTAAGATTTTTTTTTTTTTTGAGACGGGTTCTTGCTCTGTCACCCAGGCTGGAGCGTCATGGTACAATCATAGCTCATAACTCTCAGGCTTAAGTGATCCTCCCACCTCCGCCTCCTGAGTAGCTGGGACTACAGGTGCATGCCACCATGTCTGGCTAATTTTTAAAAATTCTTTTAGAGATGGGGTCTCTCTATGTTGCCCAGGCTGATCTCAAGCTCCTTCCACTTCAGCCTCCCAAATAGCTGAGATTATAGGTGTGTGCCATTGTGCCTGGCCATCTTCCAGTAATTCGTACACTTCATGAATTTGAAGCTCTGCTCCACTCTAGGACATACTACGATATTGTGCAAACTAGACTATAGGAAACTCAGCGGCACTTAAGTATTTTGTATATGGTTATTGTGAGAAATAATTTCATTGCAGATATTATCTGAAATATTTGAGTATTTTGCATTGTGTATTCTCTTTAAGACCTTGAGAAGCTGAAAATTTAATGTAGCATTCAGATAAAATATTTATTCCCTCAAATTAAACCTAAATTTTCTTAAAGAATGCTAAGAGGGTATATCATCTATGATTCAGGTATCAAAACAGGGTGGTGGTTTCCATCTCTCTCTAATTTTCATTTGGGTGATTTGTTTCATTCTCACCTGAAAAATCCTTTCTTCATTGCTACCATGGACAAAGCATATTTGGACTGTATTTTTAATTCTGAATCTATAAGAAATTAAAGAGCAGTAAAAACTATAATGCCAGCCTTCAATATACTTAACCAGATAGCACCGAAGTTAATGAATGATAATTTTAAATTTTATAATTAATTTAAAAATTTTTAAAAGCTAGAAAAATACAGTTAAAACTCTCCTGTATTCCCACTAACTTGATATAATCATTTTTAAGATTTTGGTGTATTGCTTAAATTTTTTTATTTAAAGAGTTTTAACTATATATACAATTTTGTTCATCTCCTCACTCTCTTTCACGTAAAGTACATAGACAGAGACTCTAGGGTATACCGTAGGAAGAAGAGGCCAGGCTTGGCTTATCACAGACCTGTGATCAAATCTAGGCTCTGCTAGATAGCTTTTAAGGCCTTGATTTTTTTTTTCATCTAAAAATTAGAGGTTATAAGCTCTGTCTCTCAGTATTATTATAAGATTAAATGTTTATCATAATTGTTAAGTAAAATGTATGCTAAAGTGCTTAGGGCAGTTCTTGTCTCATAGTAAACATTCCACAAATGGTGGTTATAAAAATAAGATTGGCGATTATTTTATTGCCCTTTTTTCAAGCACTTTTACATTTTATTATATAACCATTTCTAAGGGCTGCATTATTTATTTAACCAGCTCTCTTACTTTGTCGTTTTCATAATTATTCGAACTAGTATAAAAAGCACTTTTTTCCTGACATGTAACTGTCTACCCCATTTTTAAGAAGATTTCTCATATGGAAATTACAGGATTAAATTGAAGAGTAGATAATTTTTTTTAAATCTATATTGCTAAGTGCTTCCTGAAAGAATTGTGCCAGTTTAGAGTGTGTAATGCAGTGTGCTACTTTTTATCACACTTGCAAAATTACTGAGTTTATTTAAAATTAGTTTTGCTATTTTTAACAAGTGTAAAGTGATGTCTTATTTTAATTACTAGTTTAGCTGAACATTTTTCTTTCTATATTTTGCTGTCCTCTTTTCCTGTTACCTTAATTAATTTTACTCTATAGACATTTGACAATGTTTACATATTCAACTTTGTCTGTTACGATTTTTTTTCTTCTATTGCTTCCATAAAGCCCAAAAGACGGCCTCTTCTGTAGAAGTTTGATAGGAGTGAATTCTGTTGTTTAGCTAAAAATACAATTTGATTGTTAAAATGCTGTCTCTGATTTATCTGTGATATACAATATAATTAGAAGACCTAAGTTTATTTTTCTTCAAATACTAAAGGACATTCTTTTAACATTTTTATTAAGCATTAGAGTGCTCTTTCCCTTATTGATTTATGGCACCTTAACACTTATACAATTATAATGGGTCTGGGTATGGGCTAACTGTTTAGTCCAAATACTTTTTAACCTAATAAACCTCAAGACTAGTCTTTAAGAGAATTGCTTCTGAGTCAGAGATGGGAGAATCAGTATTTCAAATGTGTATTCTTTCTCACTTTATGACAGTGATTCTATTAAAAAAGCAAAATACAATGTAAAATGGCTAGTTAAAATTCTCTTATTTGTTACTGCCCATTCATACCTGAAATCAGTCAATTATTTTTGTCATTCCAACATGAGGTGGTGTTTTTTGTTGGGTAGTTGTGGATGACGGTTTCTTTCTGTCTTACTCTGTTCTAATTAGACAAAGGATTCATTCATATCTTCCCCATGATGAACACTACGATATTTGTAAATGATGGAGAAAATGTCGATTTGATTGTTGAATACGAGGCCTACCCCAAACCTGAGCGCCAGCAGTGGATATATATGAACAGAACCTTCACTGATAAATGGGAAGATTACCCCAAGTCTCAGAACGAAAGTAACATCAGGTAAGAAAAGGACCCTCCCTGGGGACCACTTTTGCTCCCCCCTTTTCCCCTGCGCTCACCAGATCCGATTTCTGGGGCCCATAAACACACGAGAAGACACCTGAAGAAGAAGGAAGCCCGCGGCTGCCTCTTCCATCCTCATCTGGGTATTCCGTCGCGCCGTGTGTTTAGAGCGCACACGGGTGCACACGCAAACTCGGCCTCAGTTTTCTCATTTGTAAAAAGGAGGGTGGTTCTTTTCCAGAGTTCTGAGGATGGCTCAAAGCAGTGACTGGCGTATACTCAGGACACGGTCAATAATTCTCTTCAGAGAAAGAGGGAGTTAGTACCTTTCGTTGTATCTTAAAACTCCAAGAAAACTGAGAATCATTAAGTAGCTTTGGGCCAGGCGGTGACCCCAAGTTCTTTTACATCAGACCTCTCATTTGGTCCTCAAAACATTGCAATGAAAATAGCAGCAGTAGTAATACTTCGCATAAGCTGCAGATGCTTTTTTCTGTCAGGCATGGTCCTAAATACCTGAAGTATATTAACTCACTGACTTTAGTCCCCACAGATCTTACGAGTAGGCACTCTTATGTCCCCATTATTATAGATGAGGAGACTGAGGTTCAGAGTGGTGAAGTAATTTGACCAAGATCAATGGCTAATAAGGACTGGGTGCCTGGATAGCGTTTGTGTATTGTTCCAGTCAGGTGCTGTTGCTTACTGGAAGGACATGGGTGAGAAATGTTAGTGTCCCGGGCCAAGGACTAAGGGTTGGAGGGCAGACGATGGATTCGGGAGGTGTCCAGGAGATTGAGAGGGTGGTAGAGGGAGAGAGGAGCTGAAGATGCTCGTAGGTTGGGGTGGTGAGAGGCCATACCATTGAGGAGAGGAAGAGGAGGAGGAAGAGGGGCACATTTCCGAGGGAGGATGGTGAGTTCAGCCTGGGGTTTGTGGGCTCTCAGGTTGACAGTGGGATCTCCAGTGGAGATGCCCAGGTAGGGAGTATCCGAGGTCAAGTCCTATAGAAGCGGAGCCTGAGACAGGGATTTGGAGGCCGGGGATTTATGAAGGGAGAGACCTGCCAGGGAGTGGGGAAGCAGGGTGGGAGGGCAGGGAGACCCAGAAAGGATGGGGTCGGGTGGTGCTGAGCCTCAGTGTGGCCCTCAGGAGCTCTGAGCTGGGCTGTGCTCCATCCCCGTCGGTGGTCAGCCACTCAGTGGTGGTAGACCTGGCCAGGCAGTTGACTTCCAAGTGGGTCTGAGCCCCTAAGAGCAATCCTGGGGCGAAGGTTGCAGGGAGAGTCGTTATTGGCTGGCAGTGGGTTGGGGGGCAGGAAAATTGCTCCGTATGGGAGGTGTTAGACAGAGAAGTCTACGCTAGAGGTGAAGATTTGAAAGTCGTGAGCCAGCAGCAAGCAGTCAGCGTGGGAGGCTGGGAGGGCAGGCTGCGGGCGGCTCACACAGTGTGAGAAGAGAGTCTGCACGAGGCCACCGCATATGGTGAGCTGCTTGTGCGGCTCGTGTGAAACTCACGTGCATTGCGTGGGTCGTGGGCTGCCCAGGGCGACACGTCCCCACTGGAGCCCATGCCCGTAACTCTCCTGAGGGTTGCAGAGTGCCCAGTCTACACAGCCGAATCCAGGGGCCCTATAGTAAAACAGAAGCTTGAACAGCATGTGCTGCAATGGGGACCCTGGGAAGAAGTCTCGGGGTCCTAACCAGGAGCTGGTGGTGTTGCGAGAAGGAAGGCGAGGGCAGCAGTGTAGACCTTGCTCAGAGCACCTGCAAGTGTCTGCGTGAAGGCAGGGGACAGGTGGGTGCAGGCAGGCGAGCTGAGGGCACCGTGGGCAGGGGAGCGGCCGCGGTCTCCGTGAGGTTGCCTTTCGCCACTTTGCGTGCTCACACGACAGGCACTCGTCCCAGACGGGATATGTGTGTGGGTGTGTGTTTGTATTGGTTATTGTGGATTTCGTTAGTACCGAATTAAATGGGTCATAGTTTTCCCCAAACAGGGCGTGCATTTCTAGGTAGAAACTGGCAAAGAGATGCCCTCCGAGGCAGGCCATCCACCGGTGACTGATTTGTTGTCCTTCCTTCGTAGATATGTCAGTGAACTTCACTTAACCAGACTGAAAGGGACCGAAGGAGGCACTTACACGTTTCTGGTGTCCAACTCTGACGTCAATGCTTCCATAGCATTCAGCGTTTACGTGAATAGTAAGTAAAACGAAGGGCTGCTTATCTTTCTGTTTTTTACTATTTGAAGTCGAGGCTCGTGTTCGTAACAGCTGCAGGACTGAGCTCGTTGTGTACTATGTAAATAACGTTTCATGATAATTTTGACCTTAGCAAAGACCTCGTGGTTTGGTGGTTACGAGAGGAGGTAAGAGAACCAATTCCTCGTCCTACATTTCGCTGACCACGTGACCTTGCAGAAGTCACCCACATTCTGGGTGCTGCCTTTGAAGCAAACAGAGGGGCCATAGAAGTTGAAAATAGCAGTTGTTTGAGGGAAAATGTATTATTGTTGATTGTCGAAATGGGGAGCTAGAGAGTGAATAGGAGCCGGGTTACGGTGTTAGGTGGGAAAGAGATGCTGTCAAGCTTTGACATGATTTCTTTGTTATAGTCCTTTTTTTTTTTTCCAGGTTGTGATATTATTTGTGTTTAGATTGTTCTTCCACTAAGATGAGTGCAGTGTCGATCCAGCTCAGCGGGTCACGACTGAGTCCCGTGTGGGTACTGTGGGAGAAGGTGGCAGATCCTTGAGGATGGGAGATGGCTGTGGTCTTGGGCACCTGAGTCCCGCACGGCCGTGGTCCCACCCGCCCCATCCCCCACCACTTTGTGCCAAGGTTGAGGCCGAGGGAGCCTGATGGAGCTGGAGTCTTTGGCCAAGTGAAAGGCGTCTTCCTGGCGCTACTCTGGGTCCCATCTGCATTTCCTTGGAAGGGTGGGCAGGTGCCTGCCACATATACCTGCCAGAGTAAGGGAGGCCTCCAAAGACTCAGAATTCCAGGGGAGTCGGCCAACAAATGACCACTGGAATTGGCCATCCTGGGTATGAGGGATGAGGAGACAACCTGGAACGTTTCCTAGAGAACAACTTAGCAACTGTGCCGAGCGCTTTATGTGTGTTAGGCTACAGGGGGATGTTGGAGCCAGTTTCTTGCTCCAAAGGCGCCTACCTGCTGTAGGTGATTTTACACAATTACCTCCTTTCGTGCTGTGGCTCTGCAAGGATGGTGGGTGGGTAGAGTGATCCATTTATACATGAGGAAAAGAATCAGCTCGTAAGAGACACCGGGACAGATTTTTTAATTGCTAATCTGGAGTTCGACTATATCAGCATTTCAAAAATTGTGTTTTCTGAATAAGATGTTAATAGGAGTTTAGATGAAGAGGGTCACATTCTTGTAATTAAACATGTTGCTTTATTACTGGCCTTCCCAGAATCTTTAATATGCTGATGTGTATCACGCCTCCCCAGGAGGGACCGCGGGATGGAATGTATATCCCAAACTTGTTTGACCACGGGACTCTCCCCTTCCAAGGGAATCGTGTTAATTATTATCTCGGTTCCAGGGAACAGTTTTGATTATGTGGTATCTCATTGGCCCTCATTAATTTCAGTGTTAATCAGAGGAGCTTAGTATATTACACACAGGCAAAATTATCTGCTTCTGAAAAATCTTAATATTCAACTCATTTCAGAGATGACTGCAAGTAAATCAGTATCCTTGCAAGCGTTATACACATCACACATTGTTCACGCAGAACTTCATTGTGTAGTGTTTCTCCACCTGGCTATGGTAAAAGATTTTTTTTTCCCTAAGATTCCGGATTCATTGTGGATCAATATGTCTTGTAAAAATACAGTACAAACCGATTACTAGAAAAGTGAAATGGAAAAGAACAGAGATCTGCAAAATACAAGATTGGGATTTTTTTGTTTTTTAGATTTCGCAGATATAAAAATTACTTCGTCAAATTGCTCCTTCTAAATGCTTCTCCCGGTTTCTGTCTTTATCTCTTGTATGACCAGTAACAGCAGATCATGGGTGTGGCCTGCACCACAGACCTCACTTTGAGCAGCTCAGCAGTTGCGAGCTTGATCGGGTCAGGTGCTTTGTGCAGAAAGACGTTTCCAGCTTTTCTCTGGGGGACAAAATTACTACCATTTTACTTAGCAGGCTAATTTGCCTTCCGACAGGAGCAGTTTTAATCACTTCTGCTGGTGAACTCATGCCTGTTGGAAACTAGATAGGGTATATGCTGTTAATCTTCCCAAACGATCTCTCCTCGGATTCCCTGTTAATAGGAGGCCTTTCCTGTATTCTGGGGCCTGAGTCTCAAATACCTGCCCGGCGTTTGCTGAGGTCCTGCTTCATCTCGCCGGAGATGGGGATGAAGGCAACATAGGCTGTGCCTTCTCAGGTTAAGCTCTTCAGAAAGTCTTCTCTTTGACATCAGTTTGTTACAAAGAGTAAACTGACAAAGTCATTTATTTCACTTTTACTGAACACATTGGATATCTTGATTGCCAAATGCTTCGACAGAAGTAGCATCTTTGTGTGAACCTTAAACTGTCTGCCTCATGTGAGGTATGTCCAGGTTGCTCTTTACAGATTTGTTTGTTGATTTTTTTTTTTTTGGCAGGGGGGGATTTGAAAAAAATTTTAGTTAACATTATTATGGGGTCGGATTTTTTGTGTGTTAAATTTTAAAACCAAAAGCTGAAATAGTTTCAAAATTTAAAACTTGGAATAGTTGTGTTCGTTTTGACATCATTTCAGTTGAGCGAATTGCGTGCATAGGTGTTCTGTATAGTTTGTTCTGTGAACAAGCTTAGCTTCAAGGACGAAAGGAATTGTGTTCTGCAAAAATTAGAATTAATAAATATCAGAATAATGAATGCATATCATTAGTGCAGAAATTTAGGTTGCTCTTACTCAGTGCCACTGATGCGTAATTGCTTAATAGATTCAGCTACAAGAAATGCTAGTGAAAATCCTTGATTTGGCATGGTTAAATGTTTGGTGGTTGAAAAATCAATTTGTTTTGAAAATTCCACATGTGGGTTGAGTGTGGGGTGGGAAGGTGTCTTAATCACTTATATGGAAGACTTAAATTGTGCTCTGATGATTTGCATTAAGAGAACAATTAAATATATAACATGGTAAGCTTGAAAATGTTTTAATACTGTTTTTAACCTCTCAAACCAAGCCATGATTTACATGGGTCTGTTAAAGTGGCTCATTGACATTCAAAGTGGTTTGTAATGGCCAAGAGCTGTAACATGTTTGCCATCTTCGAGTAGAACTTCCAGTGGACACTGATGGGAACTTTCATTAAAAAAAAAAAAAAGCAAAACCACAATCAGTGCTTCTTTGCATTGAATTTGCATTATTATAATTATTCTTGGAATTGCATATCTAAGATGTATATAGAAATCAAATTCTTAGTTCTAAAATGTTTGCTGTCCTTCAGTGAAAATGGTGATTTGTTTTTCTTGCAAATGAAAATTGAGAGGAATACAGAATTCTAAAAACTTCAAACTTTACCCCCAATGCATTCTTAATAGGAATTACTCTTTCCAAAATTCCTACGGATATTAGAAAAAATGACACCACCAAGTTGCCTGAGCTACTTGCGTAGGAACCTGTGATCTGTTTGGTTACATTAAATTGTCATACATAAGGTTTTTACCAAATATCCTCTTTAGCCCTAATTTATCCACTTGGCTTTTTTCCCCCCTCCATCCAATATTTCTTGAACAAATAACAAACTTTACGGTGTACTTAAATGGCAATCCGTAAAATAAATATTTTTGTAAGTTATTTTGGCTTCTAATTTCAAATACCCATGTGAATCCTGAAGTAATTTACATAATCATAGAAAGAAATTATGATTGATGTGATAAATCAATTATTTTTCAAATCTCTGGAATGATCTTAAGAAGATCCAGTAACCTTAAAATGATACTTCCAAACATTATCTGATAGCATTTCCAGATCAGTGTTATGCATTTAAAACATGTGACAAGTGGTATTTAGGGGTCGTAAATAGATCTCTCTCTGATCTTCAAGGTCTATCCTTTAATGACAACTCTCAGCCAGTGGAGTGGGAGGAGTGTGGTCCTCGGGTGATGGTAACAGGGGGGCAGACATTAAGAACTAAAGGGCTTACCTTTCATCGTTGGGCTTACGTAGGACACATTTAACGTTGAGCTAGACTAGACACCCGAACAACTGCTCAACTGCAACAGATTAACTCTCAAAGTCACCATTTCACTCCATTTATGGAAAGGTGTTAACAGGGTGTTGAGAAACAATTAAACAATTTAAGGAAATGCTAAATAATGTATTATATCTAAATCACTGCATCATGTAATTAACATCCTGTCTGGTGTTAGCGATTATTTACAGACCGTACAGGATACCAAAAGCAATAAATTACCCAGAATAAGGCCTCCTGATGCGAAAGTTCCCCTTTGATCACATTTGCCAAGTCTGGGCTGCCTTTTATGTATTTTATGTGTTTTTGATCATAGTTAAATCCAGTTATGGATGGGTGAACCAATTCTAGGGAGAAGCCGCTATAAGCGCAAAGCCCTGCAAATAGAGCACGTGGCCAACCTGCCAGTTGCCAAAAGCGATCACAGGTGGACCTGTGAAGCCAGCCATGTGGATGGCTTCACCTGTTCGCCAGCCTTCTGGGTCACCCACCTGGCTGGAATCTCAGAGACTGTTACCCAGACTAAAACATTAATGGCAGACTTGCCTTCGAGAACCGCTCAGTTTTGGGCCTTTGGGCCACTGTGCCTTTCGATATCCTTACAAAACAAAGAGAGCAAAGTTACTAGAACTTTGCTGTTTTTGGAAGGCAAAAAATGTTTTCCTACTACTTAACCTGTTTGCTTTCTATTTCCATTTTTAAAAAACGACAGGACCTTCCAAACACATGGGTGCCCAAACGAGACTTGTGTTAGAGACTAAAAATTTTACGACTTGCTACTAACACATTTATCTACTGATCTTTGCTTTTGGTGCTTCCCCCCATTACATGGATTCTTTTAAACTTCTATCATAAATAATTGATATTTTAAAATATTAAATAAAGCTAGTGCTCAGTAGAACTTTCTGATTTATTGACTTGCTTTTGAGAGTTTGCTATAAGGCTACCACAGTAACTGGAATACAGCTTGGTTAGTGGGA